CAGTGATGTGCTTCTTATATAATATATAACTAATATAAGATAGATAGATAGATAGATAGATAGATAGATAGATAAAATTGTAACATTTTGGTACTCATGCTTTGGGTGACAGCAGTTGAAACGGATGCAGAATCCTTGCTTTTCTGAATAAGGCCATGAATGCAGGTAATAGGTGGCACGGCAGACATCTCTGCTCTTAGTGGAAAGCCTTTGTTTTGTCTGCAGTTAGAGGTAATTTAGGTAGGTAGGCTGCCATCCCATGTGCATTGCTATGATTCACATCCATTTCCTGACCCAGGAGGAACCAGGGAAAGTTCTGCAAATGAGCCATTAGTCAAACAAGCTGCCATCCACGGGGACAATTTGCATTTGATCAATTACTGTTTACAAGACTGGTTACAGTTTCCTCCCAAACGACCTGGACGAGAAATCCCAAAGCCACTTGCTGTGGTGTTCACAGCCCGAGTAGAAAGTAACAGGCCTGGCTCACATGAGCTTGGAGGTAATCCCTGAGCTTTGAGAGCCGCCTGTCCTGTGGGCTTTTACTGACACACCTGGTGGTTACATAATTCCGCTTGGGGCCATGCTTAGAACAATTCACCTGCCAATTACAGCAACTGCACAATTCACACTTTATCAAATTTTGACCCCAGGGTTGAGAGCGCAGCTGCTTTAATATCAGGGCTACCCATAAAGCGCGGATCCACACATTTTTTACTAATTACAGCAACAGGCCTCCCAGGGGGCCTGTTGCCTGTAAATGAGCTGCCAATATGTTCATCCAGTTTTTTCGGCTGCCATTAGCCCTTTCACACCGCACTGTAAGCGCTTACCTGAAATAAGCATGCAAATCATGAGTGAAGTGTGACTTGTCTATACTTATTCTAGGTCAGTGACTAGAAAAGCATGGAAGCCCTTGGACAAGCATGACATATTTTAAGAATGAGAGGTCAACAATGGCAACCATCCTCAGTGCAAGTTTCCATTAGAGGATACTTAAAGTGTTTGTGGATGGTGTGTGAAAGGGCCAGGATCCTCTGCCAGGTTTTTATTGCTGTGTCCTCAATGGGAAGAATTTACCCTATGTGCCCTGGTGACCATTTGAACAAAGCGAGGGACGATCCAAAATTCTGAGTTTTCTTCAGAACAGGAATAAAGAGGAAACTTTTCAATAGGGACACTCCTTCCGGTGACAACCAAGAGGGAATTTCCTTTGTTTTGGAGAGATGTTCTCTTACTTCATGTTGTGTCCGTAGACACACTTTTTTCTGCCATCAGTGCCCCATTGGGGTGGTTTTCCTTTAAGTCCTATAACCACAGCAGGAAGCAAGAGGAAATCCCCCAAAGTGAGGGAAATTTTTACCAGAACAAGTGTCCCCACTGGATGATTTCTCCTCTATTCCTGTTCTGCTGATGACTGAAAATTCTGGATTTTCTTTTACTTTCGCTCTCGATGATAACGGTCACCAGGACAAATCGAGAGGGCGCATCTCCCTAACGAGGACATGGACAGATTTTTATTGCTGATAAGTGTTCTAATTCCTCTACATTCTAATAAAAACAAAAAAGGTTTTTGGCTTTAGTTGTACTAGAGTCCCTGCTTTTCAGCTGAGCCAAATCTCCATACTGCAGTTATGGGGGTTCTATTCCTATTATTAAGGCCCAGCACAGTACAGTTGTATAAGGATTGGCTCAAAAGCCAAAAGCATTCAGGGCGCTTTCACACCAGATCCGTTGTGATCCAGCGTTTTTCAACAGATGCTAACAGAAGGGAAATCAAAAATGAATGGGTGTCAATGGGGCTAGTTTACACCGCTCCGTTGCGTTATGTTGCACACAGGGCCGGATTTCTCACAAGGCCAACCAAGGCCCGGCCTCGGGGGGAAGCAGGGGTGTGGAATTCCTATCTCCAGATGCCCGGGACATGAAGTTCCAGGGCGCTGGGTGGGTAGTTGTTTTCTACATTTAGCCCTATTTTGGGCAAGCAGAGCTAAATGCACAGCATGAAAGCTGCAATGTCGTGGAGATCACTTGTTTGCAGGTCTGCCATTCTCCATGGGGGTGGGGGTTTGGCAGGTAGGGGGGCGCATTGAGGAACCCGGCCTCGGGGCAGCAGAGAGAGGAAATCCGGTTGCACAGAAAGAAAGAAAAATATAACCTGCACTTTTTTCAGTGCAATGCAATGGATCCAGTGTGAAATAGCCCTATTCCTTTTTTGGTGTCTTTCCGCTAGCATACGCTGAAAAACAAATCTGAAGGAAAACGGAAGGTACAATTGCAAGTCAACAGACCCTCCATTGACTTGCGATTTCCTTCCTGTTATGCTTTGAATGCCCCTTAAAAGATTGCGTTCTAAGCAATTCTGCAGCAAAAGGCCACATAAATGTGCCTGTTGTCAATAGCGTTCTGATATGGCCTTTGGGTAAAGCTGCATTCACATGAACTGGAAGGGCAGGCGGTTATGACCTCTGTTGGAGTGATTGAAATGCAGGTAGACTGCCGCTGCAGCAACATGGTTGGTGGATGACATTGTGCACCCAGCTCCCTCATGATTCCATCCTAAATTGAAACAAGATCAGCATCATTTCTTGGACTGTAGAGAAGCAGTTGGACTCCAATAGTAGTAGGGCTGCATCCAACTGATCGTTGTCAACTATTCTTATTATGGATTAGTTGGTTGGATGCCCGATCTCTCTCCTCCACGCTGGGAGGGCCACAGCAAGCAGTGGGCGGGTACACTACCCAGCCTGCTATTGCAGTTTGAAATGGTCAATAGCAGGCTGGCTATTGCACCAGCCCACTACCTGCTGTATTTACATTCAGCTGCCATCTGCGGAATCTTGCCACTGGCAGCTGTCATTCCCTGGCTGAAGCTATTCAAGTGCCATTTGCTTACAATACAATTATTATTTTTTTTAAACTATTATAAAAAGGTGGGAAAAAAAGTAATTTTCGGTTTCGGCCTGGCAAAATCTGCTGCAGGAGGTGCGTTGCAGTGCCATTCATTTTGTTGGCACCCCAAACGCGCCTCCCACTCACATTGTGATCGCCTGCACTGGAACGCACGGTACCGCAATGCCGTGTGTTTCAGTGCAGTGCGAATGCAAAAAAATTGTGAATGCAGTTTTATTCTGAAGTAAACTTTATGTTTGTAACACTGGTATTTGTGTATTGTGTAAGGATGGTATTAACTTTTTTATCTGATTAATCGAAAAAATAAATCGGCCAACTAATCGATTATGAAAATAATCATTAGTTGTAGCCAATCAGAACCCGGGTAAAAAAAATAAAAAGTATTTTTAAGTGTTTAACAGGCATTGCAATAGCATTTGGAAAGTTTTTTTACTGCATAAACTGGCCCACAAATCTTCATGGGAGGAGACATAGCGTGCATAGCGCACAGCACTTTTCACAATAGCTCTAAAAAATTAATCATGGCAACTGGGCTTGCTGTATTTTTCTTGAAGATGTTTCGCTGGTCCGACCAGCTTTCTCAATTCATGTCCTCAGTTATGGTAACTTATGCATGCCATGGAGGGTCTGTGTTTTAGGGTCTTAGTGGGCTAGTGTAGGTGCTTTGATTTCCTATATGGAGCGGGAGTCATGTATGTGAGCTGGGGTCCTGTGAACAAGAGAATGTGCTTAATTCTGTGAATGTAGTGCAGGGCTTTCACTGTGTGGGGGTCTTGTGTATGTAGTATGGGGTGTGACAGGGTACACGATTCTGTGTATGTCAGCGAGAGGTTGAAAAGGGCAGCTTTCCCTGGCTAGGAAAGTTCTGTGTTTTAGGGTCTTAGTGGGCTAGTGTAGGTGCTTTGATTTCCTATATGGAGCGGGAGTCATGTATGTGAGCTGGGGTCCTGTGAACAAGAGAATGTGCTTAATTCTGTGAATGTAGTGCAGGGCTTTCACTGTGTGGGGGTCTTGTGTATGTAGTATGGGGTTATTTTTTAGTTTTGGGGTCCCGTATATGTCTGGTTTGAAGTTTGCAGTCCTCCACATGTAGTAGAGAGTCGTGTCTCTGTTTTAAGGGACTGTGTATGTAGTTGGGATTGTCTTTGGTTTGAGGTCCTGTGTATTTAGTCGGCAGCTCTATGGGGTCTAGTGGGGTCCTGTGTGTGTAACGTGGAGGTGTATGTAGTTTTTCGGGGTAGGTCTTATTTTCGGGGAAACAGGGTAGTGGGGGGCCCTCTGTATCCCGGGGCCCTGTCTTTGCAGACTTTTGGTGTATATAGGGGATGAGGAGGGTCGTCTTTATTCTGGCTTCCTTTCTCTGCAGGCTCTCAGTGTATATAGTGGGGGAGGGAGGTCCTGCCTCTGCAGGCTCTCAGTGTATATAGTGGGGGAGGGAGGTCCTGCCTCTGCAGGCTCTCTGTGTATATAGTGGGGGAGGGAGGTCCTGCCTCTGCAGGCTCTCAGTGTATATAGTGGGGGAGGGAGGTCCTGCCTCTGCAGGCTCTCAGTGTATATAGTGGGGGAGGGAGGTCCTGCCTCTGCAGGCTCTCAGTGTATATAGTGGGGGAGGGAGGTCCTGCCTCTGCAGGCTCTCAGTGTATATAGTGG